TTGAGTTATGGTTTGATGGTTTGGTTCGATTATGATTTTCCGCTGGTTGTTGATAAACCGGGTTGGGTTGTTTCAGCTTCCGTGGCCTAAAAATGTTTGAATAGGATAAGAACCGGTGTAAAGATTCACTGAGTTTTTTCACAAGAGAAAAATATAGGTATTTCATATAAGAATTTTTTTTATGAATGAATGGAACCTTTCTGGAGAGTTCATGATCTCATAGTAAAAGACAAAGAAAATAAGAGCAAGATGAAGACGAATCAAGTGGGTCGAAGGGAGCTCAGTACTTGCAGCTTAGACAAAATTAGCCTATCAGAGTTAAAATCTCATAATCATATACAAGTGTTTGAGAAAGAAAATATATAGTAATACCTCATAGCCTTTGAGCGACTGTTCAACGGCTTCCTTCCACTAATCTCCTTTCCTATAAAATTTCATAATCAACTAAATTTTCATTTGCAGTTGATAGAAAAGATTATTGAGTGTTTAGTTAGTGTTATCACATCTTGTAACAGGGATGAGATGCTTATCGATAATGGAGAGAATGGCTTGAGAGATATTGGCAACTCGTCTTCTACCTTTTGAGTTTTAGTGATAACCTTTAATGTATTTGACATTTGATTCGCTATCTTTGAACTTTTCTTTCTATTCGATCGAAGACATTAGCCTCCACGGAGTCCGTCTTGATCCAATCACGTTCTTGTAATTAATCATCAGCTCGCTGTTCACCGTCACTATTTTTTCATAGTCTCCACCATCTCTGCAACATTATATTACCAAATCCGAGATATTTTACCAAATCCGAGACATTGTCATTTTCACTGTTAAGATGTTTTGACGACGTAATTGATGGTTAATTACATACCGTCGTATCTCTCGGCTTGTTTGAAGAGCTTCACCATGTAGACGAAAGCCTCTGTCTCCCTTTGACAGATCGTGATGACATTTGTTGTTCCGATGATGTGTCTGAAAAACAGAGATGTTGATTTCTGATTTGTTTTTGTGATTTTCTTGGGCGAAATAAGAAAAAATAAAAATGATTGGTAGAGATAACAGGGAGGGAAATATCTACTAAGAGGTTTGAAGATGGTTCGTAAACGTTTATGGATTTTGTTGGAGTTCCGTTTATACAGCCACCACCGCGCTGGTGTAATCCTTCTCCTCCGTGGTTGTAAATCAAAGAAATCCACCAAATTGAAGCGACGAAAGCGAAGATTAAATGCCGCAGTAGATCGATTCGTTTCGGTTTTGTTAAGAACACATTGAATCTGAAACGTAATGAAAGAAGATGAGAAGCCAGAAATCGTATGAGCGTGTGAGTAACAAACAAAGGAGAATTTTCTTAACGCCACGTGTCAAGCAAAGAGGCCAGCCACGTGTCCATCTCTGGAGAGTGCTGACCTCTTATTATATTATAGATATGTAGAACACACGTGTCGAAAAAAGAAAGGAAGACGAAACTCCACCAGCAAATTTAACCTAGCCGCCGCTGCAGCTTTATGTGAGACGAATTCTGGCGAAATTAACTCAACAGACCTTGTGGCTAATTCCTTTAAATCCGCCAAGTTCTACATCAAACCACAGTAGAAACCCCAAAATGGAAAAGATCCATCAATTCCATCTAGATCTGCTTCCTCCATGTTCCATAAGCCTCATCTCTGTTCACTTCACACCGTCGGACACTTCTCTCCACTACCTTTAGAAAAGGCCCATACTTACCTATGGAGGAGTGAATGCATCATTACTCCTATGAAATAAGAGATTGAAGCATAAATTGATGAAGATAGCTTCACTAGAATCACTCAACTGAAGTTCTGTCAAAAGAAAGATCCAGATATCACCGGAAAACAAACCGGTCAAACCAGTCGAAAAATCGATCCGATTGATGGAAAGCTTAGATCTAAAACCGCTATATACGTAAACACACAAAGAACACTATATGTACATATAATCCGGACCGACGACGTGGCTGTGGAAGCCCATAACCGCCCGTCCGAGACTAGATCTAATCGGAAAAGTTAAGAATGATGGGAGCTTTCTTTTTCTAGAGAGAGAAAAATTTTTCCAGGGCCGTTTTAAAAAAAAAATACAAAAGTCAACATGTTCAAATGCAAACATCTGCAATATACCGGAAGGAGCCATTAGAAGGAAAAAAAATCCCTCAAGAGAAAATATGGAGAAGAAGGAGAAATCATCGATTTCTTCAACAGAAGCTGTTCTTCTCGGAGCTCTAGCTCCAGGCGTCAATGTCCGTACATTAATTACCTTTTCTCTTCGAATTTCTTGATTACTGTTTCCTTCACTTGTCTAAAAACCCTAACTTGATCTCACAAAATTTCTACAAACAGGCTCCAACATGGAACACTTTGAGATTCGCGTTTCTTCTTCTGGGTCTCTGTCTCGCTTTCATGCTCTCCTTAGCTTTCACCAGTGGCCAATCTATGTTGCTTGTTCATGTTGGGCTTCTTATTGTAATCGCATCTACTCTCTTTATCCTCCTCAATTGGTATGTCAAATTTCCATATCCTCAATTTTGATTTTGATTCTTTCTAGGGTTTCTTTAGAACTAGTGATTTAGCCCCTTTGTTAGACTTAGATCTGATCCAAAACTTGTGGTTCTTTTATTCAAGGATTCATACATATTTCTCTGTATGAGTAAATTCTTCATGTAAGAAGGGTTCTCAGTTCTCTAGTTTTTTTGTATATCTTTGGAAAAGATCTCATCTTTGTGTCATATAAGGTTTCTAAGGTTTAACAGGTTGAATTAGTTTTAAGGAAAGAGATGAATGTTATCGAAAAATATGGAGTCTTTTAGCATCTTGAAGAGCTTATAATGCTTTTGTTCTGAATATCAAAGTGGAGAAATCT